CAAACTCATTAGTCAACAGAGCCAAATATCAACAGTACAACGATTGAAATTTCTTTTGAGAGCCAAATTTTTTAAACTTAAACTATATAGGTAGGTACATTGTTATTAACTTAATTAGGGTACTCCTAAGGCTTAGGAAGAGCCACACTCAAGGGGCCAAAGAGCCGCATGTGGCTCGTGAGCCGCAGTTTGCAGACCACTGGCTTAAGGGATGTGCTATGGTTCCTGTGTGCCCCCCAGACCCGCTCTTGCCCTAGCCTGTGAGGGCCAACAGTGAACCCCGAGGGCTATTTTTGCAAAGTGATACTAAGATTTATTTGAGTATATCATCCCACCCAGTCATAACTGATCTGAAATGCAAGTGTACTGGGGCATCCTGATTCCTTTTATCTGGCAGCCCTGGGCCTGCTGGGCTCCCCGGGGGAAATCTGACCCCAGGACTGTGCTTTGTCCCTGTCCTCACTGGCAGCCCTGCCACCCTCAGGCACAGGTAGCCCACACTCCTTTACCTCGAGGCCCCTGTCAGGCCAGCTAACGAGCTCCAGGTGGCTGAGCTTAATCTCTCCAGGTATCACTTGGGCACCTCAGGTCACGTGATCTCAGGTTAAAAGTTTTTAGAAAGTTTTCTCTCATACGTTATTGTCACTGCTCTTTATCAGTGGAGAATGCTTGGCTTTTGCATAAAGTTTGTTCTGGGTTTGGCTTCAGCCAGAGGGGCTGGGGGAGGAGTCCTCAAACTGGGACAGGGGAGTGGCCTAGGGACAAGACGCAAATGGCAGGCACCAATCCAGGCAGGGTCTCTCCTGGGGCTGGGGTGTAGACATAAATGGGATTCCAGAGGCCACAAGCCTTTCTGTAAACACTGATCCACCCCAGAAGGGGCCTCTCTACTGCACTGCAGGGCTGCTGGACAGCACAGCCTGGTGGGCAGCAAGCTTGGGGCACTGGGCAGTGCACCCCCCCCCCAATCTGCCATCCTGCTCTGTGCTCATATGCTTCACTGGTGAAGCAGAGAACCCCTGGGAGTTCAAAGACACCCCGCACCCCTGCAGCGCCCCCTCAACATCCCTCTCCATGGTCTCCCCCACTGATGTTAGGGCTGAACTTCAGAGCGTTGGGCTCCTGCCTCTGCCCACCTTGCTGTCTGAGAAAGAGCAGGGAGGAGGCCCCATAGGTGGGCGCCTCCGTCCTGCCCTCATCCCACCACTCCGTTCACGGGACTGGAAAGCAGGCTGAGGGCACCTGACACCCGAGGGCACTCTCCATCCTCCCAGGCTCCTGGGCCAGGAGTCCGCTTAGCGCAGCCATGGCACCTGCTTCTCTGGGCCCGGTGCCTTCAGCAGCTGCCGCTTCCTGCATCTTCCTTGGGCTGAGATCCGAGTCTTCGGGGAACTTAGGGAACTCCTGCCAGGAGAGGGTGTGGAGGCCAGCCCTAGACAGGCTCCTCGGAGCCTGGATTCTCTGGCCGGTGGCTGGAAGCATATTTTTTCCTCTCTCTTTTGGCTGGCAGTTACCCTGCTCCAGTGTTGCCGTTCTCTGTGCTTTGTCTAACACACACCTCCCTGGTGATCCAGGCACTCGCTCCCACATCGGCCGGGACCTGCACGTGTGCTGGGGTCCTGTACATCCATCCTCTCCCTCCACGAGGGACTGTGACCCTGGCAGGAGAACAGGCTGAAGCTCTTCCCCTGAGGACATGGCTCAGGGTGAGGGGCTGGGGGCTCTAACTGCAGAGCTGCTGGCCAACCACTGGCCACCACTGCTCCAGTCCTCCTGCCGCTGTTATTGGACGAAGCGGGGTGTCGTTTTCCCCACTGGGGGCTGGGAGTAGAGTCCTCATGATACCTTGAGAGAAAGAATTTTCTGAGAGTCGCACAGAATGAGTGATTTTATTTGCATGGAATTGTATCCGTGGGTTTCCAAAGTCTCATTTCCCTGAGTCCAGTCATAGAAGAAGTGTAGGTGGGGTTTCAGTAAAGCTAGAAGCAAAGCCAAGGTCCAAAGTTTCCATTCCGTTTGTAGCAGGTCCAGGGCTGCATCAGGCTAGCTGCAGTCCATTAGTCTATTGTGTATACATGGGGGGGGGGGGGGGGGGGGAGGATACCCTATATTTGAATTCTTCATAACACACTGTGTTACCTTTATAATTAGAAAGGTCAAATGTTTTCAAATAAATTAAACAAATCAAAGAAAGTATTATTACTTTTTGCCTTCTATAAAAGGGACATATATTTAAAGAAAAATAAAAAATAGGGATTTGGAGAAAGCCCAGCTCCCTAGGGCCCTGGAACTCAGTGAATTGACAAACATAGGTTTGCCAATGGAAGAGGCAGAGGTGGGCCGGGAGGGCTTCAAGGACTGTAGAATAGAGTGCACGTAGCTTAGGCACATAGCAGGAGCATTCACTGCTGCAGAAAGCACCTCAAACCAGAGAAAGACGGGGGCTGGGGGGACCCAGGGCCTGGGCTTTGCCTTCTGCTACTGAGAGCACAGGCCACACTCCAACAGGCTTGCCTGGCGGTCGTCACCCTGACCTCCTCTCCCTGGAGTAAATGGACACTGCAGCCCCAGCACACTCATCTGTCTGGCTGACCGCTCCAGGCTGACCCCTAGTGCCCCCCACCACGCATGCAGAGGCCCTGCCCCTGACTGAGACCTCCATGTGGGGACCAGCAGCGAGTGTTCCGGTTCCTTCCAGTGAAACCTCTTCTCCACCCTGCCATTCACCCTGGGGCGTTCCCCAGTGCAGCAGCCCTGAGAGAGCACCTGGTGTGGGAGAAAGGTGTGTGGACAGGGCTCAGTGACCAGAGCTGTGGCCTTCAGTCGAGGCGTGCGTGCAGTCCTGAGGGACTTGGCAGGGAGGGGGCAGATATATATTCTCAGGGGCCTCCTTCCGCCCTCGGAACTCCTGCTTGCAGTAGCTCCATTAGCCAAATACGTGCTCAGCTGGGTACTTTTCTTTTTCTTTATTAGCTGGATACTTAGGCTAAAAATTATTTGCTATTGATGTGAATTACAAGTTCTAGTTGTTGCTATGCATTCTTTCTTTAAATTGTTTTTTTTTCTTGTTCTTTTTTTGTTTTTTAATTTTTATTGAATGTATGGGTAACATTAGTTAATGAAATTATGGAGGTTTCAAGTGTACAGTTCTGTAATACATCATCTGTATATTGTATCGTGTGTTCACCACCCAAAGTCAAGTCTGGCGTCGTGCATTCTTACTCACTGAATCTGGCACAGCCCGAGCAGCGACCACCCTACTCTGCACACCCACACGCAGGAGCCCAGGGGGTGCGACATCCTGAATGTGACGGGAGGTACAGCCCTTGAGCAGGGATGGGGCCCTTGGTAAACCCCCAGTCACCACCCACAGAATGTCAGGCCTGCGTCTCTCCCCACTGCCTGTTTCACAGAATCGTGGTAAACATGTTTGAATACATAGCAACCAGCACAGAACATATGCTCCAAAAATGCCATTAAAAAAGCTAAAAGTGCAACTATTGTGAGCCTATATTTTTAGAAATACTTTTGAGCCAGATTAAATGAAAACTTTTCTAGATCCATTCCAGCTGGCGAGCATTTTGCTAGAAGCTCCAAGTCATTCTGTAGTTGGTGGCCTGAGCACACTTTGATCCCCACCCCCTCACCCAGGGATAGGTCTCTGTGAGCAGTAGCAGCCTCCCAAGGCTGTCGGCCAGATCTGTGGGACACTCTTACGACTGGGCAGATAGACAGTGATCTCTGGGGCCGTGCCCTTCCCGTCATGCTGTTGAGTTGGGTATGAAGGACTTGGAGTGAGTCACAACAAATCTTTTTCAGTGGGGGTGTGCGGATCAGGAGGAGGCACTCCAAGATGCGCCTCTGTGGTATGTGGATTGTTTTGAGCTAAAGGCAACTTTAGCCTCCTCTAGGCCCCAGGGAAACTTCTGCCCCTCCCTACACGACCTAGAAGAACTTGAATTAGGGCCTTGCCCATAATAAGAAGTGATCAGCCATAGCCTTTTGTATCCACTGAGACTTCTATTTACTGAACATGTGCTCTTCTATCGCCCTGCAATGACCCTTTGAAGCCCCCAAGGCACCTCACCTCATCTCAAGCTCAGGAGGCCTCACATACCCATGTTCCCTTCTGTCTCTGAACCTCGTGCGTGTGGGGTCTCTGACTCTCATGTATGCGGGTCCCATACATATGTATGTGTTAAATTTGGTGATTGTCTCATTAATTTGCCTGGTGTCTATTTGATTATTAGTCCAGCCAGAAGAACCTTGAGGGTAGAGGACAGTTTCTCGTACCCCACTGGGGGGAGTATATTGCGTAACGTTAACGTAAAAACCTTCAAAACTGTAAAGAATTTTTGTGAGTTTATTTGAGCCAAACTGTCAACAATTGCCAGGAAGCAGAATCTCAACAGATTGGGATAATGCTTCCGAGAATGGCGGTTTTTCATCTATTTTTATACATTAGAATCAAAGGAGGGGACGTAGGTGGGTTACATGAAACCCATTGGTGATAGATTGGAGAGGCGGGAGGAAGCAAAGCGGGATTGTATAAAGAGTAAAACTATAGACACATACTTCTTTTACTTAGGTGGGTACAGGATAGTTAATAGTCAACAATTAACATAATAAGAATAACAATGAAGGAATTTGTGGTATCTGTCCTGGAGCCCAGGGCATTTTAGGAGCTCAGGGTCTGAAAAAAGGGAAGTTACAAGTTACCCTGACATTTTGTTTTTTTAATATATTTTTGTTGATTTCAGAGAGGGAGAGGGAGAGAGAGATAG